GCTTCTCCTTGGGGATGCCTTGCAGGAAGTCAATCTTGCAAGCTGAAGCAGGGAACTGCTAAGGCAGCTGCACCCTGGTGCAACCAAGGCATCTGAAACCTTACCTAACTATATTTTGTTTGACTTCTGTCAACACCACTTAGCGATATACGTATTTTAACTCGCCTTTTCTTCTGCTTTCTGTACTCTACCCTCCCTGAATGAGCTAAAAGAAAATCAGCCGGGGAAAAGGGGCTGCAGACTGGAGAAAGGTTCCCTTTGAAGATTTCCGCTGCAGCCCAGGCGAGCCTGATATTAAAAATAGACTTCAATCATTCTAATTGGACATCGGAGCCTTCTTTCATCCCAACGTGCAACATCACCTCCGAGAATTCAGCCGCTAAAAACCCTACAGAACGCATTCGAGTGTGACACTCACGGGACCCCCCAGGGGTCACCATGGACTTTGATGGCAATTGTTTGGTTGCCCGAGACCTCCTCTGCCCTTCCACCTGCAGCCCTCCACCCTTTGCCCAGAGCCCAGTGTCTTAATTATCTGGTTCTGCTATAACAAAAATATCACTAAGTAGGTGTCTTTAATGTGTTCTCTTGCAGTTTAGGAAGCTCGAAGTCTGAATTCAAGATCCCGGCTTTCGAGGAGAACTTTCTCTCCCTGTTTGTTTTAGGGGGGAGGCCTTTGTCTCTTTCCAATACCTGTGGGCATTTCTTGTAGCTCTGCATGTGTCTCAGTACCAATTTTCCCCCCTGTGTTAGTCCGGGTTAACGAGAGAAACATTTATAGACAACACCCATCATATATGTATAAGAAAGACTTTTATCTACAGAGTAATTGTATATTAAGAAAACATCCCAGCCCAGCCCAGATCAAGTCCATAAGTCTGATATTAGTCCATATGTCCAATACCAGTCTATAATTTCCTCTTCAGAGTCATGTAACACATGCAATGATGCTGAATGCAGGAACATCACAGGCCAGCGGGTGGGAAGTCTTGTGGATACAGTGGAGGTGTAAACCACTCAGCGCTGGTGTGGGTTTCCAAGTGGTTCCTCCAGCTGCAGGGCTCTGGTTCCATCAGTGTGTCTCCATGTGGCTTGTCAACAGGAATGTCAAGCAGAGAGTGTGTCCCGCTTCCAGAGAGGAATACAGGAGTTCCCAGAATCCTCAGGAGAAGGCCATGCCCCCACAAAGGCCTCATTGGCTATGACCTGATTGACAGGCTAGAATCCACCCCTTCACTCAACAGGAGATTACATAACTGCCACTCCCTGGGTCTAGGAGGTTCTCAGCAGAGTCCCTGAGTCCAGTGGATGCCCACCTGCCTGGCAGTTCTCTATCTCTGGCCCATTCTTGTGACCAGAGCAAGGGTGTTGCATCCCACCCTTCATTTTTGGTAAAGTCAGCAGAAGAGAGCAAGGCCTTCGAAGAGATGGATTGGCACAGGAGCTGCAGTAAGAGGCTCAAGCATCGCAACGATTGAGAGAATGGCACAGACCAGGCAGGTTTCCTTGCTCTGTCCGTGAAGTTGTTATGACTTGAAACCAACTCCATAGCAACTAACAACAACATCTCGCCCAGGTGTGTGATAGTTGCATACTCTGGTGTCCACTTGAGACTACTAAGAGTGAAGGGATAGAGCATAGCCTGTCAATCAGGTCACAGCTTGAGGACCTCATTTGGAGACACTCCGGAGATAAATAGCTCACTGGAGGCCAGATACATGCTCTCCCTGTGAGACATTTCTGTTGACAAGCCACATGGAGCTACACTGATGAAGCCAGCGCCCTGGAGCTGGAGAAGCCAGGTGGAGACCCATGTCAGCACTCAGCAGCTTCCGCTGCCACTGGATCCACAAGACTTTGCACCACTGGCCTGTGATCTTCCTGCATTTGGCATCATTGCATGTGCTGCATGAGTCTGAAGAGGAATTTTCAGACTGGTATCAGACATATGGGCTAATATTTGACTTATGGATTTGATCTGGACCAGGCAGGGATGTTTTCTGAAGATACAATTTATATAAAATTGTACAGAAAGCTTTTATATAAAGCTCTTTCTTATACGCATATGAGTGTCCATGAATTTGTTTCTCTAGTCAACCCGGACTAACACACACAGAAATACCACAAGGGGTGGCTTTCATGAACAGATAATTATTCCTTTGTCAAACCCAAATTGAGGGTGCTGGCTTTGAGAAAGGTTTTTCTCTGGAAAAATGTCTTCCCCTCTCTCCAGCATCTGTAGGGTAGGCGTTCCTTGACTCCTTGGCAAGTTTCATGTGTCATCTCTCTCCCGCCAACACTGTCTGTGTCTTCCCTTGTTCAATCTGTTCCTTTCCTGTCCCCAAAGAGAGAGCCAGCCGAGTCCATCACACACCACATTCACACTCACACTCACACCCAAGGGAACTGTGTTAGTCCGGGTTAACTGGAGAAACAAATTCATAGAGACTCAGATGTGTATATGAAAGAGTTTTATAGCAAAGAGTAATTGTATATTAAGAAAACATCCCAGCCCAGTCTAGATCAAGCCCATAAATCTAATATTCGCCCATAAGTCTGATACTAGTCCATAAATCCCTCATCACACTCTTGCAGCACACGCAATGATGCAAAATGCAGAAAGATCACAAGCCAGTGGGTGCAAAGTCTTGTGGATTCAGTGGTGGTGGTATGTTAGTCTGGGTACTTTAAAGAAACAAATCCACAGAAACTCATGTATAAGAGAGAGTTTTATATAAAGGGTAAGTGCACACCAAGGAAACCCCAACCCAGTGCTGCCCAAGCCCACAAGTCCAACATTAACCCATATGTCCAACACCAATCCACAAAGTCCCCCTCCATCTCACAAAACACATCCAGTGATGCCAACTTTAGGAGGAAAGCCGAGTCAGTGAATGTGTAAGCATCTCCGCGCTGGCAGGGGTCTCTACATGGCTGCTCCAACACCCAGGGCTGCATCGGGCTGGTCTATGTGGCTTCTCCTCAGGGATGTCTTGCAGGAAGTGAGCCTTGCCAGCTGAAGCAGAGAACTGGATAAGGCAGCTGCACCCTGGTCTGACCATCAGAGAGCAAGAGACCCGAGAACTAGAAAGCCAAGGCTCACCTAGCCATTTATCTCTCTGCCTTTCAATTAACCCCACATGTGTTTATCGGCCAGGTTAGCACAATAAACTTTAACTATATCAGGTGGAAGCATCATATCATGGGGCTGGAGCAGGTCTGTGCCACAAGGCTCACTCAGGTCTCAGGTCTCAGCATGGCTCCACCTTAGGAAGGTGAACCACAGAGAGAGTCAGGCCCTCTTCCAGGGAGAAAGAGAAGAAGTTCCCAGAATCCTCATGAAAAGGCCATGCCCACACGGAGCCCTGATCAGGCTGTGACCTGATTGACAGGCTAGACTCCACCCCTACACTTAGTTATCAAGTGGACATGAAACGATATAACGACCACAGTGGGGTTTCTTTGGCAAGGGTGGAGTTGGGTAAAGGGCTGGGCATGGGCATGGGGAGCCCTGGTGACATAGTGGTTAAGCATTGACTACCAGGTCAGCAGTTCAAAACCACCAGCCACTCTGTGGGAGAAAGATGAGGCTTTCAGGGGCAGTTCGACCCTGTCCTCTAGGGTCACTGAGTCTGCGTTGACACAATGGCAATGAGTTGGTTGGTTGGTTTGGGGGAGCCCTGGAGACATAATCCCCAAGTGGGCTGAGTGACCCCATTGCCATTCTCAGGAAGGTGGCCAGACCCCTCCAGCTGGTGGCTGACCTGTTTTAAGTTCTGAGATACAATGCTGAAATCTAGGTGCCTTCAGATGAGAGGGAGCCTTTCTGGGGGTGGGGACTGGACTCCTTGACCCCCTGAGGGGGTCCCCCTGAGGAGGAGGAGGAGCCAGGGCCCCTCCCCATACTGAGCCCTCCCACTCAGCGGGACGCAATGGTTCAGTCCTTTGTGAGGTAGGTTCAGGGGGGTCAGGGGCCTCTGAAGGCTTGTGGGCAGAGAGGACAGTGGGTCTCAGAGGAAGCAGCACCACCCGGGGAGCAGGCCCCCCACCCGCGCCATGGCAAGCGTGGTGGTCAAAACGATCTGGCAGTCCAAAGAGATCCACGAGGCCGGGGACCCCCCCGCAGGGGTCGAGAGCCGCTCCCAGCTGATCCCGGAGGCCCCTGGGGGGGTGATCAACCCGGCCAAGGGGATCGCGAAGAAAAAGAAGGCCGTGTCATTCCACGGGTGGGTTGTCGAACTGCTGTCGGGGAAGGTCCCAGCGCCCAGCACTGTCTCCAGCAGGGCAGGAGCCCCCCGTGGGAGCTGGAGGCAGGGGAGGGGGCTGCGGGGGGCGGGCAGTGGAGAGAGAGGAAGGGTGCGGAGCTGGGGAGCTAGCGAATGAGGGAGGGGGAGGGAGGGAAACGTTAGGAGAAGAACAGGGTTGGAGGAGGGAGAAGAAA